TAGAGACGGGGTTTCACCATGTTGACCAGGATGGTCTCGATCTCTTGACCTCGTGATCCACCCGCCTCGGCCTCCCAAAGTGCTGGGATTACAGGCTTGAGCCACCGCGCCCGGCCTCCCACTGAACCTTCTAAGGAAAAATGCCCCGCCCTCAGCAGTTTATTGGGAGCCAGGCCACTCCCACTGAGCCTTCTAAGGAAAGTTTATTTGGAGCCAGGTCACACCCATTATGCCTTCTAAGGAAAGATGCAATTCCTTCATTTGAGCCAAGATTATACCTGGTACATAACCCTTGTGAAAAAAAAAAACAATCAGCCTGTTGACATGGGCCTGGAGGGTGGAGAGATGGGGAATCGGGGACCACAAGGGACATGGCCGTCGGGGGCAGAGGGACTAGGAGAGGTGGGGCTGGGAGGGGCCAAGGACCATGAGAGTGACAGAATCAAGAGGACCTGATGGAGATGTGTGGAGCAAAGGGGTCCGGGGGGCTTGGCCCCAAGGAGATGGCTGTGAACCACATGCGTCCCCGCCCTCACCTGCCTGCAGGGCTGTGTCAGCAGCTCCCCGAGCGCCTCAATTGGCTTCTGCTGGTGGAAGGTGACCAGGGCGTCTAGCGAGGTGTGGGCCACCTTCTCCCCGGGGATCATGAAACTCCCATCATCCAAGAGCTTCACCATGAAATGGCAGCAGCTGCTTTGGCCTCTGTGGAGACACTGCGAGGGCTGGAACATCCCACTCCCCCTCATCCCCGCTCCAAGTCCCCAGCCCTTGGGCTGGCAGCGCCACTGCTACAGCCAGACTATGCCAGGTTCCTGTGCAGGCTTCTTCACTCATTAGCCATTCAACACCCAGCAAGTTACTAACCTCACTGTGCCTCAGTTTCCCCCATTTATAACATAGGGCTACAATGGCCGACCTCAGATCAAACATGTTACTACAGGCAAAAGCTTAATTCATTGCCTGGCTAGGGGTAAATAATCAATAGAAATGATAATGAAAGCTGGTCACAGTGGCTCATGCCTGTAATCCCAGCACTTTGGGAGGCTGAGGCTGGTGGATCACTTGAGGCCAGGAGTTCGAGACCAGCCTGGCCAACATGGTGAAACCCCATCTCTGCTAAAAATACAAAAATTAGCCAGGCATAGTGGCAGGTGCCTGTAATCCCAGCTACTGGGGAGGCTGAGGCAGGAGAATCACTTGAATCTGGAAGGCGGAGGTTGCAGTGAGCCGAGATCATACCACTGCAGTCCAGCCTGGGTGACAGAATGAGATTCTGTCTCAAAAGAAAAAAAAAAAAAAGAAAGAAAGCTCCAGACTAAGGCTGTGTGCCTGGCACACAGCAAGTGCTCAAGAGATGCCCAGTTAACCAATAAATGTATATTAATGTCACTCTATGTCCTGACTGTATCTCATTTAATCCTCACATGAATACGCTGAATTAAAATGTGACATTCCTTTACTGGAGGCACAGAGAGGTTGAGCAGCTTGTCTAAGGTCACATAGCATATAATGGCAGAGCTGAGCCTTGGAGAAGCTTTTCCCACTGTGGGTAACTGTAAAATTGAGCCACTGGGTTTTTATTCCTTTGGCCTGGAGTCCTCTGGATTTGTCTGGCTTCCAGGTCTTAAGGAGCTGGGCTTCCCTGGGTTTCCCTAACACACAGTCTGGGAATCACTAATTAGATTGTGAGGGGTGGAGGGAGAGAAGCCGCCAGCCAATCTTAGGTCCCCAGCAGTCCTGGTTCTCAGACCCGCAGCCTCAGTTGCTGCCGCTCTCTGAGAAGCAGTAACCCCTTTCCCCCTCCAAGGAAGCCCCAGAGCCTACCTGCCCCTGCCCTAGCCCCTGGCCCAGGCCTTACTTGTAGGAGAGTGTGTAGCCCACGTGGCTGTGGCTGACCCTGATGAGAAAGGATCCTGGTGGCTGCGACTCCAGCAGGTTCTCAGCCTCCCTGGAAGGGCACACACAAAAGGAAATGACACAGTCAGACTCCTGGGGCTATGGGGCCATTCATGCAGAAGACTGGTAGTTTTCATTTTTCTTTTCTCTTTTTTTTTTTGAGGCAGTCTTGCTCTGTCACCCAGGCTGGAGTGCAATGGTGTGATCTCGGCTCACTGCAGTGTCAACCTTCAGGTTCAAGCGATTCTCCTGCCTCAGCCTCCCAAGCTGCTGGGATTACAGGCGCCTGCCACCATGCCCAGCTATTTTTTGTATTTTTAGTAGAGACGGGGTTTCACCATGTTGGCCAGGCTGGTCTCAAACGCCTGTCCTCAAGTGATCCACTGGCCTCAGCCTCCTAAAGTGCTGGGATTGCAGGTGTGAGCCACTGCGCCCCGCCTGTTTTATTTTATTTATTTTATTTTTGAGATGGAGTCTCACTCTGTCACGCAGGCTGGAGTGCAGTAGTGTGGTCTCAGCTCACTGCAACCTCCGCCTCTCAGGTTCAAGCAATTATCTGCCTCAGTTTCCTGAGTAGCTAGGATTACAGGTGCCCACCACTACACCCGGCTAATTTTGTATTTTTAGTAGAGACGGGGTTTCACTATGTTGACCAGGCTGGTCTCAAACTCCTGGCCTCAACTGATCCGCCCGCCTCGGCCTCCTAAAGTGCGGGATTACAGCCGGCCTGTTTTCTAAATGAACAAATACCCCAAACCCATCTTTTTTTTTTTTTTTTTTCCCAGTTGTTGCAGACCCTGAGCTATTCATGGACTAGGGATGTTACCACAGAGGACCTAGAAGGCCTCTGATGACCTTGATCCCAGACCAGACCTCCTCCCTTCTCCCACAGCACCTGCCTGCCTTCCCAATGACTGGAATCTCCCGATTAAGGCACCTTTGGGTAGATCAAGGTGTCACAGGTAACAAAGAAGGACCTGTATACTCAGATGCATTCAAGTTCAAACCCCAGCTGTACTGTCCATCAGCTGCGTGACTTCAGGCAATTGTCTATCCCTTTCTGAGCTTCAGCTTCCTCAAGGGGAGAGTAAAACCCACTTCCAAGGCTGCTGTGAGAACAGAAAGAACTTGCAACATCAATGTGACAGCTGCTACCTGGTAGGTGCTCCCAAAATGTTTGCTATTATTATTACTATTATTCTCTCTCTCTTTTTTTTTTTTTTTTTTTTTTTTGCTCTTGTTGCCCAGGCTGGAATGCAATGGTGTGATCTCAGCTCACTGCAACCTCCACCTCCTGGGTTCAAGTGATTCTCCTGCCTCAGCCTCCCAAGTACCTGGGATTACAGGTACGGGCAACCAGACTCAGCTAGTGTTTTGTATTTTTAGTGGAGACAGGGTTTCACCATGTTGGCCAGGCTGGTCTTGAACTCCTGATCTCAGGTGATCTGCCCGCCTCAGCCTCCCAAAGTGCTGAGATCACAGACATGAGCCGCCGCGCCCGGCCTGTTTTCTCTATATTACCATTATTATCGGGAGTTCACAGAGAGGAAGGCAGCCTCCTGGCCATTTGTACCGATTTCCAAAACAGCACAAAAAAGGAACATATGCTATTTCACGAATCATTTTTTGTTTGTTTTTGAGACAGGGTCTTGCTCTGTCACTCAGGCTGGAGTGCAGAGGTGCAATCATAGCTCACTGCAGCCTTGAATTCCTGGGCTCAAGAGATCCTCCCACCTCAGCCTCCTGAGTAGCTGGAACCACAGGCATGTGCCACACGTCCGGCTAATTTTTTTAATTTTTTTTTTTTTTTT